AATTTCGCGCACCCCTACTCTTCAAATGCCTACGAAAACAAGAAAACACAATGGAAACTTTATGCTCCTTTAGCTTTAATGTGAGGACTGAAATTGTTTTGATGATTTCATTATTTCCTTTAAGTTTATTGGTGGCTTTGACAATTTTACCCTGAAATCATTTGACGCTGAAAGCTTGCTGGTGTATTTGTTTTTAAACGACTTCACAAAAAGGAGAAGGTTATCAATTCGACGGAATATTTTTTTATCATTTTTTTCTATGTATGTTACCGCATAACTTAGTACCACGTTAACCGATTACTTAATTCTTTTTTAAAGGAAAGGTGTTACCTGACAAGTGGTCTAATTTGGTTTAAATCCGATCATTGGATCATGAATAGATTAACGATAATCTTAAATTCTTAGATGGGAATTGAAATCGGTTTTGTTTTTTTTTTTGCTTAAAAATTACTTGTTTATTTAAGCATTTCTTGAAAATGCAGTCTCATATAAAAATGTAAATGTAAGGCCTCTATTATGAGTTGCATTCGACTGTGGTCGAAAGTGCTGATCGAACGAATTTTGATTTGGTATTATGACGCTCATTCGATGAATAATAGCGCTATTGTGAATTTCGCTCGGTTAGGTTGTTTACAATAGTATATATATTAAAAAAATTCAGAACTTGAGCAATTCATCATGATAAAACATTTAGCTCTACGGATTGTGCCACAAAACTACATTGCTTATAGTAGCAGAACCAAAGCATCTGTATTTATAGGGAATATATTGGCACCATATTCACTTGTAACTTCGTCTTTGATTTGGATGATAAGTGTTCTGGTCGAAGGGTTCAGGATTATGGTAGCCCTATGTTAGTAGTTTGGTTTTTTTGTAGCAAACAGTTTGTAAAAATTATATGAAATAAAAAAATAGTTTCCTTTTTAAAACAACAAATTCTAAAAATAAAAAAAAATAAGTAGAATTTAACAAGAAAATAAAATAAATAAAAAAGGAAAAAGAAAATTTTCCTGCCCTAGGACTCGAACTCGAATCTTTCGAATGGCTCGTCAGTGCTCTGCTCACTCAGCCATTGCGACCAGTGTTGCCAGAACTTTTTGGGCCGACCGGCTAGATTGGCAAAAAAAGCGGCTAAAAACGGCTAAAATGTTTTAGTGAAAATTCACATGCTTTATTTAAATAAATCGCAAGAAACGAAAGACTAGTTAACACCATTAATTTATATCGAGTGTATATTCCTCATCATCAAATGAATCACTATTGTATATATCACCTGAATTCATTAATTTTAAGAGATCGTCATCTACAGTAAAATTATGGCACCATTTTTCTTCACGTTTTAAACCGTATCTTATATATAAAATAGCGTTTAACTTTTTAACGCACATTGGATTTCTTTGCTTAGTTTTTATTATATTCATTGAACTAAATATTCGCTCTACTTCTGCATTACTTATAGGCAAAACAAGAAACTAAAAACTAGGTTGCAAAGGTCAGCAAAAGGGTTTTCTCCTAGGGCATTTCGAAATTGATAAACTTCGGCCCAAAATTTTACAGTTGAGTCTAAATTACTCCAGGTATGTAACGTTAACCGTTGCCATTGCATCTCTTTGGATGTTATTTCGTCGGCATTATATTTGTGTTTTTGTTGCTGTAGTTGAACAAATACTTTTGGTTTAATTACTCTTAATGCATTTCCAACCGAAAAAAGTCTATTTTTTTTAGTGTGGCAATATTTGTAGGGAGGCGTTGGCGTAATTCCTTTATTAAAGTGATAATAAAATAGCGACCATTTTCTCGAATTATTTTCTCGGCTTCGTGGTCAAAAGCGTTTGTGCTTACTTTTGTTTTTAAATACTCTTCAAAACTGTGATAAAACTGAGGAAATGGAGCAAGGTATGGTTCCAACGGGGAGCATATAGGATCAAATGTGTCCGCGCTAATAACCACTAGGGAACATAGATGCGAAAGTAAAACATTGAGTTCATTAAAAATCTTCATTGGGTCTGCATTATTGCTTTCGAACAACTTGTTTACTTTTTGCACCTGAAAATTAGGCAAATAGTAAAATCGGCTAAAAACGGCTAACTTTTTTTTACAAACCGGCTAACAAATCGGCTGCCGGCTAGATCGAATTTTCTCCGGCTAGTTGCTATCAAAACCGGCTAAATCTAGCCGGAAAACGGCGACTGTTAATGCAGTGCGCGCTAAATGATATAAGTACTTATTTTTATATTTGATTTCAAACTGAACGAAAAAAGTGAGTGATGCCACAAAAAAAAGGCCGCAACTGGGGCCATACTGAGAGGACACATTAATTAACTGATTTAACGATCATTAGCCCGTTAGAGCTAATTTAATGAACGTTTCTGAATGCGGCTGTAAGTGATTCATTTTCATTATTTAGCTTTAAGTGATTTGAGGTACTCAACCCATTTTTCCAATTCATTTTCAATATTTAGCTTTAAGTGATTTGAGGTATTAAACCTATTTTTCAACTTCATTCACATTTTTTTAGCTTTAAGCTTTTTTTAACTTTAAGTGATTCAAGGCATTAAAGCCATTTTTTCAACTCATTTTCATTATTTAACTTTTAAGTGATTTTTTTTGAACTTCATTTTCATTATTTAGCTTTAAGTGATTCGAGGGATTAAACCCAACTTTTCAAATTCATTTTTATTATTTAGCCTTAAGTGACTAGAGGGATTAAACCCATTTTTTAATTCCATTTTTATTACTTAGCTGTAAGTGACGTGCCGTTTTTTCAAATTCTTTTCATCATCAAACAATTTTTATAAATATTTAGAGATGCGTACTTGAATTAAATGAGGTGATATACCCAAAGGCAAATTGTCCTTGATTTTCACACATCCAAAATATCTTTTCAAACAATTTTAAATTTTCGATCTTCAAATTTTTTTATAACTAAAGTGATTAATGTATCCACGTAGATATAAGTGACTTAATACGGTTTTTGCTAAATTTTTAACGACTATCTCAATTCGATTTTCCTATTCAAAAATACAAAACTTTAATACAACATAACAACTATTTTCACCATATACCGATGTACATCATTAATTATATTTTGATACGACAATAACTTTATAAATACAAATAAAAAATTTAAACCAATTTAAAATCTTTGCAATTGCATGTGAATAGAACCCAATATTCCCACTTCATGAAAACGTCCCTATTTTTGCATGCAAATTTTCAGCCGATGACCTACTGAAGAAAAGCATAAGTATTTTTCACAATTCGATTTTTTTTAATATTTTCATTTAACATGGTGAACGATAGCTGTTTTCGTAAATTTTGAACTTCCACTTCTTTGAGATTAGCCGGTTATGAGCGAATTTGATATACAATTTAAAGCATGTAAAGCAGAGTTCGATAAAACTACTAAGCGAATTTCGCAAAATAGACCATTGTCTACGAATGCGAAAAAGTTAAACGAGTATAAATATTCGCTTATTACAGCCTACAATAATATTTTACTACTAGTTATTGCCAATAGTTCGGCTCACACCTGTAACCTCAGGGAAGTTCAAGTTAAGTTAGCCCGTTGCAAGGAACAGTTAGCAAAGTGCTTTACTAAACTGAATTGTCGCGTTAGGATTCCACCTGATAGCTTATCGCTAATTTCTCAATCAGACTTAGCTGACTCTGAGTCAGAAGAAGAATTTAGTGACGCCAAGTCAGAAACTTCGGTACAATTCAGTTTTAAAAAAAGTACTTCACTTCCATCAGTTAAAGATCCGCTAGCTGTATCCGAAGAGCCGTCAACAGCTACCAGCTCACCAAATATTTTGACAATTTTTAAAGAATTTTTAGACATGGCTACCCCTGAAGAAAATAAATCCTTTATTAGTATTTGTACCTCAAGCATTAGGGAAAACTACAACGGCGACAATTAAATAAATCTTTTTCGACAAAGGGCATTTGTTGCTAAAATTTAAATTACTCCGACTTTATCGAATTTAAAATTAAAGGGCCAAACAAATTTTGTACGTTTTTAGTCGACACGAAAGCCGACATTTCTCTAAAATTCTAGCATTGATATACATTTTTCTATAAATACGAACGATATAATTAATATTACCGGTGTCACTTTCAATACTGTTTCCACTTTAGGTACGATTACCGTAAACTTGACCTTTACTGATTTTTACATTAAACATACTTCACATGTAGTAAACGACGATTTTAACATACCATCTGATGGTATACTGGGTAAAGATTTTCTAAAAAGTAACAAATGCGTTATTAGCTATGCAAGCAATTGTATTTCCTTCTGGGTCGGCAATGAAAAAGTCGCGATACCAATCCTTCACGGAACCGAAAGCAACACTTGTATCATACCGCCCAGATGCCAAGTTTATAGAATTTTCGATTAAGGCCATTCGCCAGATCCGCTTTTTGTAGAATCGCAAGAAGTTGAACATGGTGTATTCACAGCAAGATGCATAGTTAAAAGCAGTAACCCAGTTATTAAAATCATAAATACCACAGATGACGTGAAACATATAAAGAATATTAATATTCGGACTGAAAAACTTTCTGACTATTACGTTTACTCAATTAATAAGACCAAGACAGAAGACGCAAGAACGAACGAATTAACAAATATTTTGAAAAACCAAATCCCTACAGAAGCTAACAGCAATTTACTTGACCTTTGCATCAAATTGCCGACATTTTCGCTCTTGACAATGACAAAATCACATAAAAAAATTTTTATGAACAGAAACTTAGGTTGACTGACACTGACCCGGCATATGTAACTATCTATCGTCTGCCATATTCCCAACGTGAAGAAATAACTCGTCTAGTTAATAAATTACTAGATAACGATTTAATTGAAGGAAGTTATTCCAATTACAATAGTCCTCTAATTTTGGTTCCTAAAAATTATTAATTTAATAATTATTATTATTATTATTATGGGCCATATGCACCGCGACCTCTAAAGTGGTCTATTGTGCGTGGCCCCCGGCCTATATGGGAAGGCTTTTAATGTAGCCTAGCACCTCCAAGGGCGTTTTGTTCCAAATTTCAAATGGTTTAAGGGTAGCGCCACCAAAGTGGGCTAGTCTGCGCCTAGCGAGAGCATCACATTCACAGAGAATGTCTTCTGGCGTTTCTTCGTCCAGCTCACAGACGCGACAGACGCTTGTTTCTGAAAGATTGATTTTACTGAGGTGGTAACGAAGAGAACAGTGTCCCGTGTAGTACCCAGTGAGAGTTTTGAGGTCCTCTCTGCCTAAATTGATTAGTTTCTTTGAAACTTCGTTTGAAGGACAGATAAATCGTTTGGCTTGTCTTTGCCCTGGACATTCCATCCAATGCCTGTTGAACATTTTGTCTACCCAGTTATTTATGGTCCGCTTTATATGTGCTTTGGTGAGCCCACAAAAGGGTTCCGGACCATAAAATACTGCGGCAGCTCCCTGTTTCGCTAGGCAGTCAGCCTCCTCATTGCCATCATGTCCCTTATGCCCTTGTACCCATCCTAATAAGACTGTATTCTTGTCACCAAGAGCATTTAGGACATTGCGGCAATCATGTACTAGCTGAGAACTTATTTTGTGGGACTTCAGGGCCAGTAGGGCTGCCTGACTGTCCGACATAATGCAGATATATTTCGATGACGTTCCCCTTCTAAGACATTCTCTGCCACAAATTTCTATTGCATGAATCTCCGCCTGAAAGATGGTGGGGTAGCTACCCATTGGTATCATTTTTTTAAAGTTCGGCCCAAAAATGCCAGCCCCCGTTCTACCATTTTCAAGCTTAGATCCATCAGTATACCAAACCTCCCCATTAGGTTTGGTGTATGGGTTCCCTGTATTCCAGAGAGCTCGATCTGCAATGTGTACCTCAAATTTCCTAGAGATTTCTAGTTTTGGAACCATTGCATCGCGCATTTGTAGTATGGGGTCATTAGCGAATTTCATTAGGACCTTCATGTGACCCGTCATATCTCCGATTTTCAGGTCGGAGGTGTTCAGGATTCTCAGTACCGCTGTGGTAGCCTCCCTTTCTATTAAAATAGGTATTCCAACCAGGGCGCTGAGTGCATCGGCCGGGCAGGTCTTCATAGCTCCTGTTATGCCAATGCAAACTATTCTGTGCAATTTACTTAGCTTAGTGCTTGCACCTCTTTGTGTAGCCTTAGTCCACCATGCTAAGGAAGCATAGGTTACTATTGGCTTAACGACAGTGTTGAATGACCAGTAGGTCATTTTGGGGGTAAGGCCCCATGTTTTACCAAAAAGTCGTGAACAGGCAAAGAAGGCCTTCATCGCCTTGTTGATAACAGTGTCCAAATGTGCATTCCAGTTAAGTGTTTTATCAAGAGTTACTCCCAGATATTTAGCTTCACTGGAAAATTCTATTTCTGTGCCGCTCAAAGTGAGTTTAGTAGTAGATAATTTCCTCCTTCGAGTGAATGGAACAATAATAGTCTTTGTAGGATTGATGGTTAGGCCTTTATCCTCAAACCATTTGTGTGTGATGCGTAGGGCTTGTTGCATGCGGTTGGTGATAGTTTCGTCATGAAGCCCTGTTATGCAGATTACCAGCTCATCTGCGTAGCCTTGCGTATTAAAGCCTTGGCTGTTCAGTGTGAAAAGAAGTTCGTCTACAACCATAGTCCACAAAAGAGGAGAGAGTACACCCCCCTGAGGGCATCCTCTTGTGGCTGTTATCGATTCTATCGTGCCTCCTAATTCCAACCTGATGTTTCGTGTTCTTAACATTGATAACACCCATTGATTTATGATTGGGCTTACACCCTTTCTTAACAAGGCATCTTTTATTGCCTTATATGATGTGTTATCAAAAGCCCCTGAAATATCAATAAAGGCGCAAAGGGCTATAATTTTTGACTCCAGAGCCTTCTCAATTTTTGAAGTAAGGCTATGAATGGCAGTCTCAGTGGATTTTCCTGGTTGATAGGCAAATTGGTTCTTATTCAGAGGTCGTTTTCCCTTAGGTTGACTTCTCTGATGTACTGATCCAGTATTTTCTCCATGCCTTTTAGAAGAATGGAACTGAGGCTAATTGGTCGGTAGGATGACGGTAATTGTTCCGGCTTACCCATTTTGGGTAGAAACACGACCTTAACCTCAGACCATATGCTGGGAATGTGACCCAACAAGAGCGAAGCTCTATAGAGTTTAGAAAGGACCGACGCTATGTGTCTAATTCCATGCTGCAGGAGACATGGATAGATTCCATCCGGTCCTGGTGATTTGTATGGGCTGAATGTTGATAAAGCCCATTGCACCCGCTCGACAGTGGACAGCTTCGTAGCAAGGCTTTGTTCTCTTCCAGAGGTGGATGTTGGAGCACCCAATTCTGGTCGACAGTAGCCTGATATACAGCGCGGGAAGTGAGTATCCAACAAGAGTCTGCTGGTCTCACCCGGATGCTGAGTGTAGCTCCCATCTTGTCTCTTAAGGGTGCCAATTGTATTCCTGTAATCCCTTGTTAGAGCTTTTTGGAGGCGTACTGCCTCTGGAAGGCTATTTATTTCCTCACAGTGGTTTCGCCAGCTAGCTCGTTTGGATTTCCTTAGCTCCTTCTTGTAGGAAGTTAGCGCAAGTTTATACGGATTCCAATCACCCGTATTTTTTGCTCTATTGAATAGTCTTCTGGCCTGGCATCTCATTTGCTCAAGCTTCTTACTCCACCAAGGCACATCTCGTTTGGATTTTACCGTTCCTTGGGGGCAACTGCTGTTGAAAGCTATTACAATATCTGAGTGAAGCTGTTCAGCTTCATTCTCAAGCTCCTGTTTGGTTGTAATGGGGTGTTTGGGGCTGTTTCCGCCCTCTTCTATAGTAAAGCGGAAGAGTTCCCAGTTCGTTTTCCTGGGATTTCTGAAAACTAGTTCGTGTTCAGGAAAGAGACCCATGTCGAATTCTATATGCATGTGGTCCGACATTGATACCTCCCCGGAGACACGCCAGTTTGTGACAGATGATGACATGTTTTGACTGCTTAGAGTTAGATCCAAGACCTCCCCCCTTAAAGCATTTCTAAAAGTCGGTTCATTGCCACGATTTATAATATTTATATTATGACTACTAATAAACTCGAGGAGGTACTCACCCCTTTTGTTGGTATCGGTGCTGCCCCAAACAGTGTTATGTGAATTGGCGTCACAGCAGAGGATCCAGGGTTTACCACTCTGCTGGCAGTGCTCCACGAAAGCCTTTACTTCTGCTGTTGGGGCCATCTCCTCCTCACCCGGAAAGTACGCTGAGGCAAGTACTGCCTCTTGTACACCCCTTGGAGTGGGAATTTCGGCCCAAACCGCAACCAGATCCGCCGTCATGAACTGTAATAGAGGAAGAAACGTTAGTTTTTTGCTTAATAGCATCGCCGCCCTTGGGCGAGGGCTGGGGACATATATGATCTTACCATCATTGACGTTCAGGCCTTTGACCTCACTGCGTAGTATCCAGGGTTCCTGGATGAAGGCTATACCTAGACCCTCGTTAGTGAACCTCCTGCAGAGAACAGCTGACGCTGCCTTGGCATGATGAAGATTCACTTGGAGGCATTTCAGATGCCTCGAGTTTGCGTTGGGCTTAGGGAGAGATGGCATTATTTGCGGTCTTTACGGCCGCGAGCAGCCACCTTCTTCCCCCTATTTCTACCCCGCAAGGTCTTCTCCTCGGCTGTCCAGTAGCCGCTTTGAGTAGCCGCTTTGGAACTGCCATGTAGTGGTGGCCTAATTATGTTCCGGGGGAGCTCAATGGGCCTGACATTTTGTTGGGCTCTGTCTAGCACCTGCTGCAGGGTCAGGACCGATGTTGCTGTGGGTCGCGGAGGCGATGTCACGCTGGCTTGAGCTACTGACAGCTCAGGCGGCGGCTTTGTCTTTTCCAGCTCCGGTGATTGCTGCTTCTGTGCTTGAAGATCTGTTGAGAGCTGCCTCGGGGCGACGGACGGTTGTTCGTCCGTGCCCGTTCCATCGGTATCAGCGGCGTCCTTTGCTACCACTGGTACCAACGGCTTGGCTTTTTCCCTCAACTTGACCGTACCGTAGCCATAGTTGACAACATGTCCTCTCTGTTTGAGGATGTCTGCAGAGATCGGGTCTACCGCAATGGTGATTTCTACCACTGTGGACTTGCGCACCCGATTTAGAACTCGCCAGTCCATTAATTTCAGGCCTTCATTCTGCCCCTGAAAAAGTAGTAGCGCGTCCTCATTCCTGGAGCTATCCAGCTCCGGGAAGAATCCCACCAAAATTATGGGGCGAGGCGTTTCTGTATCCGCTACCACCTTCATCTTTGCCCCTTTCCAGGGGGCAATCTTCGGAACTGTAGCCCTTATCCACTCCGCAGTTACTGCGTCCCTGCAGATAATGGATAACCATCCCGGACGAAAAGTGCAGCCATCAAAAATAGGCTTTACAGCGCTATCTTTGTTGCTTCTTATCGCCCTAAGGATGGCATTCTGAATGGCCCTCAGTTCGTCCGTCGACCAGACCGTAGCCGGATAGTCCTCGGGGACTATACCCAGCTTCACCTCACACAGTGCGTCCCTAAAGGATGCTGGTTTCACGGCCTTTCCGGCGTCTTCGCGAGGCAGGCTTGCCTCGGCCGTGGGCATTGTTACTGCCCCAGCCGGCTCAGCTCTCGCTGCGCCGTGCATAAATTTGGAGACCTTCTTTGGGGCTTGCTCCTGTGGATTGGAGCTCTTTGATCGGGTTCTTTTAGCCGATCTCTCCTTTTGAGGGGGCCCAATGGGCTCTTTCGCTAATTCCCTAGCCTCCTCATAGCTCATACCCTTCTCCAAATAGCGCTTGAGGCGTTTCCGACCGGCTCCACTAAGCCGATCTCGCTCTCGAGTTTGGACGAGAGTATCATTACCTGTCGGAGAGGCAAGCAGCTTCTGCTCATCCTCCGGCGAGATATCAGAAAGCGTTTTGACGGGACTCGCATCCCGTCTAGCGCTGGTGTCAACCATCTCAACGTCATACTGGGGACTATGCGCCCAGGGTAGTTCTGTCGGGACAGTCCCCGTTTCGGCGGCTGCCGAAAGACCATGCCCGGCCTCGTCTGCGAGCTGTTCAGCTCCATCTGTTTTTTTTTATTATTGTTTTTTGCTTTACGTTTTCCATACTGTTCCCACGAGTATGGGGGATAGTAGTACCGCTGGGACATAGCCCCCACTATCCTGAGCGGGGCTTCTTACAACCAGAGGTCGCCAGGTATCTGGAGGCCACCGTTATAAGACACACTAACGTAGTGCCATTCATCCCATAAGCACGGTACGGATGACACTCGGAATTACGGGTTTTAACGAGTTGTCCTCTCTAGATCCGCCATATTCAGTAAAAGCAGGGGCACCTCTCGCAGGGTGTGACTCTTCGCCACGTATGGTCGGTCTTGAGCCAACTGCTCCTGACTCAGAGCATTGCACCACGTATACCAAGAGCCTTGACCCCCAAAAAGTCTTCTAATGGTCAAAAAGCATATCGTATGTGCGTTGATTTCCGCGCAGTCAACAAAAAACTTATTGCGGATAAATTTGCTCTCGCACGAGCTGGCGATATTTTAGACCATCTTGGCAGAGCTAAATATTTTTCTACTTTAGATCTTTTTTCTGGATTTAACCAAGTCTCCTTACATGAGGATTCACGTGATATAACTTCTTTTAGCACAGACCGTGACTCATATCGATGCAAAGTATTGCCATTCCGTTTAAGTATAGCACCCAACCCATTCTCGCGAATGAATAGTATAGTCGATGACATTATAGTCATTGGCTGCAGTGAAGCACATCACATTAAAACTTTAGCAAAAGTTTTCGACACTTGTCGAAACTTCAACCTAAAACTTAACCCAAATAAATGCAATTTTCTTCGGCCAGAAGTTGCATTCCTAGGCCATAAATGATCAGCCAAAGGTCTGACGACACCAAAATAAACGCTGTTAAAAAATAAACAAAACCGACTGATAAGGATGCGGTTCGACGTTTCGTCGCGTTTGCTTATTATTACAGGCGGTTTATACCAGATTTTGCAGTTGAATTTAATTGGGACAGTGTGTGCGACAAAGCTTTTGAATCTTTAAATGCAGCGGTAATTTCGCCAAAATTGCTACAATGCCCAGACTTCACCAAACAATTTATTATTACGGTCGATGTCTCGAAAGTAGGGTGCGGTGCTATATTAAGCCAAAACCATGATGGATATGATTTACCAATATGCTTCGCTTCAAAGGCATTTAACAATGCAGAACAGAAAAAACCAATAATTGAATTAGAACTTTTAGCAATCTACTTTTCCATTAAACAATTTCGACCTTACATTTATGGAACGCATTTTTCAGTA